GACCCAGGAGGGCACGAACACGCTGTGAAGGGTGGGAGAGAGGAAGATCTGGGGAGAGGCAGGTACCCCTGGGAGTAATTGTGCTCTTATCCTCTCCCCTCTTGTTTGTTTTGGGTCAGCACTGGGCAGGGGGCACTTGTCAGAGGTGATGAGGCCAGGAGCACGAGGAAGGAGAGAAAGCAAGCAGGATGGTGATAGGAAGGCCCCCACCCTCGGGTGTCTGTTTCTCTTCTTGCCTTCAGCTTTGACCTGTGCTTTCATCTCACCGTGACTGTCGGCCTGGACAGAGCGTGAACAATGCGCGCCCTTGTTCACCATGGCGGTTGTCATGTTGGGATCCTAGTCAGCATTCGTCAGAATCTGGGGCTGACATTACGAGGCCGGCCAGGTTGAGCTACCCGCGGACACAGGGAAGTGTTGACCTTTGCTTAAAGGAATAGCTGTGACTCAGGCACTGGAGCAGGATTTTCTTTGTTTGGTCTCCTGTCAAATGAACTATCTTTCCCGTATCTTTGCCACAGTCCAAGGAGACAGAGTTGGTCTGGAGAGAATAGTTCTCTCTTTTTTGGCCAGTCTTATGTAAATGAATGTAAACAAGGGTTCAGTCTGGTTTTCATAAGGTTGCGGTGTCTCCTAGTTTACTCAACAGCATCTAACATCAACAACCACCTGAGTGAAACAGTGTGGCTTGTGAGCATTTGTAAGAACAGAAAGCTGGAATGGTTCAACAGGCCCAGAATCAGGGAACTGCTTACAGAAATGATCCTTCCTCTTACCCTGAATGTGGTGTTGACGATGGCGATGTTGGTCTATTTTAGTAGCAGGGGGAGAGAGAGAGATTCATGACTTATGTTAAGAGAGGAAAGAACTTTATAAAAGACTAGGTACAAGGGGATATTGAGTTTTAGCTAATAATGGTGAGAATACTTGGAAAAGAATAGTGATAGTGGTTATAGCAAACACAGGATGAGTGTGAGGTCACGAAATTGTACATATAGAATTGTTTAATTGGCAAATATTCCATTGTATGTATTTTTACCAGTTATAGGGAGTGCTGGTGGCTTGGTGGTAAGGAGTTGCACTGCTCAACGTAAAGGCACGTGGGTTTGAATCCACAGTGGTTCCGAAGGAAGAAGACAGGCAGTTCCATCCTCTGTGATTTACAGTCTCTGAAAACTCACCACAGGATCAGCCATGAATCGGTTCTGACTCCAGGCTACGTAACAACCACCACAGTTACATTTTCAATTGTTTTTGGTCAAACATTCTATATAGCTCTGCTCTGTCCACTTGCCATACAGAGGTAATTTGTGGTTGCTCTGAAGCTGAACACGGTGGCACTGATGAGTCAAATGCGAGAATGGTTACCCATGGTGGACAGTGTTTGGTGGAGCTCCCCGATTAAAACAAGCTTGGAAGCAGGAGTGGCATCCACTTCCGTAAACAGCTTGCCTCCGGAAACCCAGTGAACCTGGACAAAAGATGAAAGTCATGCAGGTGTGGAGGACTTTCCTACATAGGGTCGCTATGAGTCACCTAGGACTCAATGGCACTTCACAACAACAACAACAGTGTTCATATCATCCTGTGTTGATCTGAACATAGATAATCTAAACACATGTCTCTGTGTGTGTGTGTGTGTGTGTGTGTGTGTGTACACACACACAGAAAGCCACTTGAGAAGATGTATTATAACAGGATGTAAAAACAATCATGGGGTTTGAGGTGTTTTTTTCACTTTCTTGTTTCTTTGTTGCTTTTTTACTTTGTTTTATATCATTTGACAGGGTAGGTTGTTTTTTTTTTCTTGTATGTGTTTGTTGTTGTTGTTGTGTGTTGTTGTTGTTGTGTGCCATCCAGTTGAGTGTAACCCATAGAGATCCCGTGAACAACAGATCTGAACCCTGTCCTGTCCTGTGCCGTCCTCACACTTCCTGACTCACTAGAGCCCATTACGACAGTCACTGTGTCAACCCGCCTGGTTGAAGGCCGTCTTCTCTTTCACCAACCCTCCGCTTTTCCATGCGTGTTGTTCCCTCTCTAAGGAATAGCCTCTCCTAGCAACATGCCTGAAATATGTGAGATGAAGCTTTGTCATCTTTGCCTCCAAGGAGCACTCTGGCTGCACCTTCTCCAAGACGTATCTGCTTGTTCTTTTTACAGTCCAGTCTGTATGTGTTAGTAGCCCGTTTATTGACATAACTGCTAAGCCTATGGTTTGTTCTTAACTTCTAAAAGTGAATATGCTAAAACTGAGACAACCCATAGAGTAGTAAGGCATTTTATTCAGCAGTGCATATATACCAGTTGGCCTGCCTCCAGAACCTACCTTCGTCCTGTCTGGTAGAAGCTAAGCTAAGCCAGTGGTGGTGGAATGAGGGAGAGGCAGGCATCCACAGAAACCTCTAGCTGCCCTGGGCAGACTCCCAGAACCACCAGACGCTGGACTGGGTGGGATTTGCTAATCCCAGCACCACAGACGGAGAGTACGTCCTCCTTCCTGGTTGAGCATGTGCCAGGGCGTGAGTAGGGCCACAGTTTCAGGGGAATCCTCAAGCTGGGTTAGAGCAAGACGCCCCACCTTTTCTCCTACGCATGGAGAGCCCTAGCAACGCCTCACAGACATCTCGCCAAAGTGGGAGCCATGTGTCAATGTTGTTGCTTTATTGTAAAAATACAGATAGCGTAAAGCTTTCCAACTCAACGGGTAAGCTGTATGATTCTGTGACACCAATTACCCAATAATTTTGTGATTCCCCCCCCCTTCCTTTAACACAATTGCTTTCATTCCAAGAGCTGCTGCAGATATTAAAATATCTTTCTGATGAAGACCTACTAGTATAGATTGGTTTGGTTGTTTAGCCCCAAGCTGATAAACCATGGGATTTCCTGAGGATTAGAGAACAACCAGCTAAGTGAATGGGATCATTCATTTTGAGGCCCAGGTGACTTCTCTCCTGCATCTTTGGGATCTGATTAAATAAGAGTCGAGGGACTGGTCTTTGAAGATCCTTGGTTTACTAACTCTCAACCAGGCTATACATTGAGATCTTTAAAAAAGATTGACTCCTGAGTCTGCGCTGAGATACTTCACTTTAATTGATCTGAGGTATATTCCTGGCATTGGGAGTTCTAAAATTTCCAAACGTTTCTCAGGTGATTCTGATGACCAAGGCCAAAAACCGTGTCCTCGAACACTGACCTACCTTACCCACCCCTTCCCCACAATCCAAGGAGGCAAAGGTGGTCTGGAGAGAAGAGTGTTCTCTTTTTGATCAGCCCTACTTAATGAACTGCTGGGAGAACAAACAGGTTCATCCTGGAGAGAGTGAGACCACACTGCTCCTTGGAGGCAAGGATTCTGAAGCTTCATCTGACATACTTTGGACATATTATAAGGAGAGACCAGTCCTTGGAGAGGGACATCATGCTTAGGAGGGTGGAGGGATGGCGAAGGAGGGGAAGACCCTCTATGAGGTGGATTGATTCAGTGACTGGGGTAGTCGGGATGAGTGTGTCAGAGGCAGTGCGCTTGGCACAGGATAGAGCAGGGTTTAGGGCTGTTGTACATAGGGTCGCTATGAGTCGCAGGTGACTTGATGGCACATAACAACAACAACAACCTAAGTAGAGTGTCAGTGAAAAAGAGGCCTTCAGCAAACAATTGGCTCAGGTATGTCAGAGCTGATGAGGGTGGCACAGGGTTCAGGTCTGTTGTTCTCAGGGTTGCTATGAATTGCACTCAGCTCCGTGGCTTCTAACAACAACCTAATGAGTTTAAACAAGGTTTCACTTGCTGTTCATGAGGTCGCTCTGAGTCATAGTCAACTTGACAGCACCTCACAGCAGAAGGTTTGAAAGCAGGAGTGGCATCCACTTCCTAAACCACATGCCTGCAGAACTCTATGAACTTGGGGAAATGACAATAGTTATGGAAAGGCATTAGGTCTTTTGTTCAGAGAGTCACTATGAGTCATGCTTGAATCAACGGCAATTAACAACAACAACAAACAACAACAACAACCACCTAAGTGAATCAATGAAGATTAAGCTGCTACAAGTATTTGGGGCTCCCAGAGGCCAGCTGGGAAAAGGATCCTCAAGAGAGGTCTTTTGTTGTTTGTTATTATGTGCCGTCGAGTCGCTTGCAACTCATAGCGACCCTATGTAGAACAGCCGTAAACTCTGCTCTGGCCTGTGCCAATTGCACTGTCTCTGACACTCCCATCCCAATTACCCCAGAGACTGAATCAATCCACCTCATAGAGGGCCTTCTCCTCTTACTCTGTCCCTCCACTCTCCCAAGCATGATGTCCCTTTCCAAGGACCAGTCTCTCCTTACAACATGTATGTTAGAAGGAGCCTCAGAATCCTTGCCTCCAAGGAGCCACCCGCTCTAACCCTTTCCAGGATGATTCTGTTTGTTTTCCTAGCAGTCCATGGTACTCTCAATATTCTTCTCCAGCACCACAGCTCAAAGGCACCAATTCTCCTTCTATCCTCCTTGGTCATTGTCCAACTCTCTGATGCATAACAAGTGCTTGCAAAGACCATGGCCTGTATCAGACGCACCTTAGACTTCAGAGTGACACTATTGCTCTTCAGTACTTTGGAGAGGTCCCTAACGGTAGACTTTCCATGGCAATACTCCTTTTCATTTTATGGCTACTGGTGCCAAGAGTGTTAACCATGGATCCAAGCAAACTAAAGCTGCGAACAATCTCAATCTCTTCTTCACCAGGTATAGTTGGGGATTATATAACAATGAAAGAATTTTTCTTTTACTTTTCAAAGAGAAGAAAGAACTGGAGGGGAGGGATGGGCAGGGAGAAAAGTGCAACAATGAATGAATGGAAATCCAAAATATCTGTAAATTTTCATTAAAATTAGTAATAATAATAATAATAAAATAAGAAGGGGAGAAAAAAAGAGAGGTCCAGCTCCCCAGGCTGCTCTGAAGTTCAGCCTGTTTCTAACTCTTCCTTCCCCCTTTTATCCAGTATGGAATCGTGCTGGATGCTGGGTCTTCCAGAACAACGGTCTACATGTATCAGTGGCCAGCAGAGAAGGAGAATAATACCGGAGTGGTCAGTCAAACCTTCAGATGTAGTGTGAAAGGTAAGGTCAAGTGTGTCTAGAAGGCTCAAATGGTGAGCAAATTAGAGCCCTGGGGTCCTTCAGAGGCCTGGAGAGGGGCTGGGGAGCTGCGTGGAGGCAGGAAGTGACCACTGGACCAGACGTTGGGGGAAGCTAGATCTTGTACTTGGGCTGCTGTTCATCAATGAGTGACCATGGGCCAGTCACTATCCTCCACTGGGCCTCATTTATTCCTCTGTAAAGATAAGGGTTGAAGCTGCACTGCAATCCCAGAGGTGCGTGGTTCAAATCCACCAGATGCTCTGTTGGAGAAGGAGGGACAGTCTCCTCCTGTACTAGTCAGATCCGATTTGATGGTACACACACAAAAAATAGTAAAACAAAATTTAAAAAAAATATAATAAGGGTTGAGCTGAGTTAATGGGTCAAGAAATAGAAATGGTCTGAGATTTGCCACAATTTCATGGATACTGGCAGCAGCCATGAGATTGCTGGGTCAGAAACAAAAGACAGATGATGATGATGATTATAATTAACTAACTGACTGGACTACATCGTCATCTGCTCTTCCCTGAGCCCCAGGTCTCACAGGGTGTTAGGAATAGAGTTAGCCCGTGCCTGCTCATGCAGTGGGGTGTCCTATAAAAGAGGAACCCTGAAATTAGAGAACCTGAGACATTTATCATTGGCCACATGCTACCCTTTTGCTGCAGAGGAATGACACTGCATCTTCCAAGGTTGCTCACGACACAAATATCCTTGGAAAGATAGTTGAGGGCACAGACAGTGAATTAATCAGCTTGCAAGAAATGCACGAAGGTGAAGGACACATGGAAAATTGTCTTCCAACAAGGGGAAGAGGTAGGTGATAGGAGAAGGAGGTAGACAATGCATTAACAAATGGCCAAGATTGTGTTCCAATACGTCTTTCTTTATGAGCACTAAAATCAGAATTTTACGTAGTTATATCATTTTCATCACTACTCTTCTTTCAACATCCCCCTATTCCAACATTTAACAATGCAAGTGCTGCCTTGACTCACAGGTCATACACCAATGATGGCCAACAGCATTTGGCTCATGGGCCAGTTAGCCCCAGAGTACATACAATGTTATCAGCATGATTAATGACCCCTCACTGCTACTTTTTAATTGTAATTCTCCACCTCCCCCAAAACATATCTTGGATTGTTTTTTAACTGTTTCTTCCTTATTGCTTTGTCCTTGTCATGATTTCATTTTTTTCCTGTTTTTTAAAAATGGAATTCAATATTTATGTGTAATGTGCTTTGTTCACTGACATTGAGTTTTTAAGATTCCTTTATGCTGATAAGATAAGCTACAGATTGATCACTTTTTTATTCTTGCAAACTGGAGATCTGTACTTCCCTGGTTACTAATAGCACTAACAATCTTTTGATAGGTTTACAACCATTTCCATTTCTTGTGACGTGCCTCTTCATGTCTTTCACTCTTTATTTCTGTTGGATTGCTAGACTTTTCTTATTGATTCATGGAACTTATTTATATATTCTGGAGGTGAATACTTGGGTAGCATTACCATATTATTTCAGTATCTTTATTTATACCATTTATGAGTTGTCTTTTTAGTCTCCTTGTAATGTCTTTTGATGAATGTTGTTGTTGTTGATTGCCTTCTAGTTGAGCACGACTCATAGCGACCTTATGAACAAAAGGCCTGAAGCCCCTCTACAACTAGAGGCATTTATCAAAAGTTCATAGAGTTTCCAGAGGCATGTTGTTTAGGAAGTGGATGCCAGAAGTTCTTAATTTTTATGCAGGTGAATGAACCAGCCTTCTCCTTCTGGGTTTTAAATGATTTATTTAAGATATGCTTCCCTGTCCTGGGATCATAAAGCTAATCCTCTATCAAAAGTTTGCTAGTTTTGCCTTTTACAATTACATTCTTTTCTAAAATTTTTTTCTTTATTATTAATTTTAATGAAAATTTACAGAGACTTTGGATTTCCATTCATTCATTGTTGTACTTTTTTCCCTGCCTGCCCAAGCCTCCCTGCCCCAGTACACTCTTCTCTTTGAAAAGGAAAAGAATAATTCTTTCGTTGTTTTACAATCCCTCCCCCCCAAGTCTACTCCACTATGCAGCCTTCATTCTGGACTTCTGTTATGAAAATAATACCTAATCATATATCCCTTTTAAACAGTTTTCTCCCTCATCTGTTTCAATGCAGTATACATTATTTATCCCATCTTTTTCAGTCTCCCCCCAGCCCAGTGTCAGTCTAGTTTTACAACAGTGGCACTATGCAGTATTTATTCCTCTGTCACTCAGCATAATGTCCTCCAGGGTCACTCATTTTGAATAATATTGCATGAGTTCCTTGTTTTTCAATGCAGCATAGTATTCCATTGTGTGAATATACCAGAACTTCTCTATCCATTTGTTTGTTGATGGGCACTTAGGTTGTTTCCAACTCCTTGCTATTGTGAACAAAGCTGCAATAAACATGGGTGTGCAAATATCTGTTTGGATGTCAGTTATGGTCTCTTTGGGGTATATTCCCAGTAGTGGAATTGCAGGGTCAAATGGTATCTCTATTTGCAGCTTTTTGAGAAAGTGCCATACCGCCTTCCACAGTGGTTGCACCATTTTACACTCCCACCAACAGTGAATAAGGGTTCCATTTTCTCCACAACCTTGCCAGCATTTGTTGCTTGCTGTTCTGTTAAATGTTGCTATTCTGACTGGGGTGAGATGAGACCTCATAGTTGTTTTTACAATTACATTATTAAGCTACATGATCAAGGCTAGTTGGTGAGCGTGTGCATGCCTTTTTAAAAGCCAGACACTTTAAAGAATTAGGCAGCTCGTGTGGTCTAGTGAATAAAGAGTTGTGCTGCCAACCCGAAGGCAGGCAGTTCGTCTACCAACTACTGCTCAGGAGAAAGATGTGCGGTCTCCTCCTGTGCCACTTACAGTCTCTGAAAACCCACTGGAGGGTCAACCAGTCAATCAGGAGTTGGTTCCGACTCAATAAGCCATGAGTTTGAATTTAAAGAATTATGATCTTTAAGTTGTCCTGGAGCTTCTCACCCAGTGCAATCCAAATGAGCCCCATGTGTCCCCCTGCCCCACAGTCCCACAGTCCCACTGGTCAGTGTCTGAATGGTAGGTTTCTTGCCCAGCTGACCTTCATTTTCTTTCTTCAGTGAACTGCAAAGTAGAACTTCCTGGAGGTTAAGGCATTGAAAACATTGGGACAAAGTGTTAGCTTTTCCATAGTGAAAACAAGAGTCTTTTTCAGATGACAAGGTGAATTCTGATTCACTCCATGCGCAGGGAAGGGAGCTCTGGCAGCCTGGTCCTTCAGGAGTTGCACTGCTAACCAAAGGTGGTGCCTCTCTGTTAGTGTGAATCCAAAAACAGAAGGCGGACAGTCTCCTTCTGAGTGATTTACAGCCTCGGAAAATCTCCTAGAGGCCTAACTGTGAGTTGGTTCTGTCTTGAAAGCAATGAGAGAATTTCTCCTTAGGGAGGGAGGACAGAAACTGCTTATCCTGGTGCATAAATACTGCTGGCTCGGTTCTCCAGAAACAGATGTTGAGACAGAGTTTAGACTACGAGGTGGTTATTAGGGACGTAAGGAAGGCGGCAGAAGGGCTGGGAAGAAGAATCTAACTCAGTGCAGTCCTGGTAGGGAGGGAGCTTCTTAGAGGCAGGGATCTGCATTATGCTGAGATGGCCTGAAGTGTCCAGGCTATAAGTCATCATCTCCGTCATCACTGGATGCCCGCCCCTCTGAGAAGCGCAGTATTTTGAGCCAGCCAGCACTCTGCAACTGAAGCAAAGCTGGAAGGAGCTGGCAGCTGGGTTGATGTCTTTATTTCTAGGAGAATCTACATAGTGCATCTTTGGATTCACCACAACAGGCAACTTGGATGTTTCCCCAGTATCACGTACATGGTGGTCCCCAAGACACAGGCAGCAGTAGGCTTGCTTGTCTTTGATCTTGATTCTGTTCTTCTAACTCCTGAGCTATTGTCTTACCCCCAGGCATGAAAAGGGCACTAGGATATACCTGTAGAAACAAGAAACCACCTGTTTGAAGAAAAGAGAGGTTAACTGGCATTCCAGCAGATATATGCACACCCATGTTCATTGCGGCTTTGTTCACAATAGCAAGGAGTTGGAAACACCCCAAGTGCCCATCAACAAAGGAATGGATAGATAAGCTCTGGTATATTCACACAATGGAATACTATGCTGCATTGAAAAACAAGGAACTAAAAAAAAAACCCAAGCAAACAAAAAACAAACCAACCAACTCATGCAATATTATTCAAAATGGGTGAGCCTGGAGGACATTATGCTGAGTGAAGTATCTCAGTCACAAAAGGACAAATACCGCATGGTGCCACTGTTGTAAAACAGGCCTGACCTCGGGGTTGGGGGGAGACTGAGAAAGATGGGTTCAATAATGTATATTGCATTGAAACAGATGAGGGAGAAAACTGTTTAAAAGGGATATGTGATTAGGTATTTTTGTCCTGACAGGAGTCCAGAATGAAGGCTCCGTGGTGGCGTGGACCTGGGGGAGGGTTTGTAAAACAATGAAAGAATTTTTTTTTTTACTTTTCCAAGAGGGTAGTGTGCTAGGGGGAAGGGTTAGGAGGGGAGAAAAGTGCAACAATGAATGAATGGAAATCCAAAGTCTCTGTAAATTTTTACTGAAATTAATAATAAATTTAAATTAAAGAGCAAACAAAAAAAAAAGAGAGAGAGAAAGGTTAGTATAGAAGAGTTATAAAAAGCTGCTTCTCCCTGCTGTAGGAACTCTAGAATTTATCTAACCTTTCCGAGTTTTGACTTTCTCCTTTTCAACAATTTGAACAGTTTCCACTCATTGCCATTACATGGGAGCTGATTCATAGCTGACCCTCCAGCAAGTTTTCAGAATCTTTACAATTGTACCGGAGGCGGCTGCCCAGCTTTCTCCCTCAGTGTCACTGTGGACTCTAATTGCCTGCTTTTGGTTTGT